TCTCACGCGGATCAACGAAACTCTGTCCGATTTATCCGGACCAGATCTGAGTGCCCCGGTGGTCCACGGATATCAACATCCCCGTCACAGGCCAAAGACCCACGCAAGCAAGAGATGACAAACAGCTCTTGCGTTTGTTTGAAAGGAGTTGCATTTATTTTGTTTTCATTGTGTATCGGTCTTATAAAAAGACTATCTTTTTATTTCATTGTAACGATCAAAGTTGTAATGAATGCAGCAATGAATACAGCGACTTTTTCCGCAAACAAGCTGGCGACCACAGTGGGAGCCAACGACATCGCTACCGACGCCGTCGTGACGCAGCCCTCTTTCATAAATGTTTGCAGGTCCTTCGGCTCAAAAATCCAAGACCCCGTTGCCGCCTCTGCACTTGCGCCACGTGACGTCCCCGCGTCGTCCAACGCGGTCAAGATCGCAGATCCGGACTCCTCCTCTGCACTTGCACCACGTGACGTCCCCGCGTCGTCCAACGTGGTCGAGATCGCAGATCCGGACTCCTCTTCCGCCGAGGAGATGGCTTCTGAAGACGCTCCAATATTGTCAAAGAGAGCACGACAAAGACGGCGTCAACGTCTTGCTCGACAGCTGGCCGAGGCTTTGGAGCCAATGGATGGGATCCGCTATAACGTGGATCTAAAATCCAGGCAACGCCAGGAGCAACCACGGCAAACAACCAGCCCCTCCTCCGAAGCAGAAACAAACAAATGGGTTCATGTCAAAAGAACCCGTTCTACTCTCGAGGAGCGAATCCAGAAGCGCCGCGCCTTGCGTGCGCATGCCTGAGCCCTGGTCCAAAAAGCACGAGAAATGCTAAAGGGAGAGGCAGTTAAGAGAGCGCCGAGGTCCGAACAAGTTTGGATGCCAAAGGCCAGATCAACGCCTAAGGTAAAAGCAGGTAATATTAATCTCTTACCTTTATCAATTTCAGATCCCGAACCTCTGGTAAAGCCCCACCGTAGCGTGGATTTCCCCAAGTTCAAGAATCCTCCGAAGGATCGTATCGGTGCTCTACCCGAGGATCGAGGAAAAGCGCTTGAGAAGGAGAGCTCGAGATCATCAAACGAGCCGCAAGCCAATACCTGGACTGGGGGTCGTACGCGACCTCCTAACAAACGGATTCCTACAACGGCCAGCTCGGCGGTGTGTGCAAAAGACCAAGAGCCCGTCAAGGTTTCACCCTCACAAAGGAGTGATTCCAAACGTGCGACTCTTACAGAGGCCAACAAGGCAATGTTTACTCAGAAGAAGACGCGTCGGACAGACGAACGCGTTATACCTGAGACCCCCTGTGAGCAGCCGATAGGTTACTCCGACTGCAAAGTCAGTGAGTTGTACTATCAGGCTGGGGGTGCGAATGAATCTCGAAAGAGAAACACCCGGGAAACGGACTCTCACTGTCCGTGTACCAAACTCATCAGGGCAGTATTATCAACCTGTAGCTGCCCCAAGACCGCTTCACAGAGGGTCTCGATATCCGAGAGAATCTCCGATGGAATCACGAACCCCAAATCAGGGCGTTCCCACCAAAGAGGATCGGCTGCTCGAGATGATGAACTCCTAGAAGTTACCATCAATATGGTCAACAAAGGAAATTCCCCAATCATTTCAAGTAGTGCCGACCCTAATTTCTCTTTAGGGAGCAGGGTCAATTCGGGAATAACTCAGCTTCAGCTAGAAGCCGTCGGATATAACAACGACCATGGGGTCCATGAAGGAG